CTAATCCAGTTTAAAATGATATTCTTTTAAAGTCCAAAGTGCTTTAAATAGCCGAACTTTTCTAGAAACCAAGTGTCACTTGATTAGTACTTGCTGCCTCGTTAAGTGGTTTTTGCTAATCAAGGTTCTCGAACTGATTTTGTTAAATAACCGTAGTGTTACTGCAAGATTGTTATGGTGATGTTTTCCACAAATCTTAATGCGCTATTCTTAGTAGTAACTTAAGGGTTGGTCTTTGGGTTACTAAGGGTAGTAGGGTTTAGAGTTAGGGTTGGTCTTAACATGAGCTAATATGAATGGGAAAATAGGTAAGAACCGTTGGTGGACCTCTTCTTCAGCCTAACCCTGAGTTTAATTAGCAGTTTAATTTCAGAATCAAGGCATAATTAATTAATTAATCAGATTTGTTCAATTTATTTTCTATTAAAAACTAAAAGTATTTTCAAAATGGTTTAAGTTAATTATTATTGTCTACGTTTTTATAAAGTTTATTGTGTGATTGTTTTTGTGTGTTTGTTTTCTCCCTAAGTGTTCTTCTGAGTTCGAGTTGCTGCTGTGGTTCCATCTCTAGACTGTTATCCTTATCTTTATTTTATTTGCATTTTTGTCTTTTTAGAATTATCATTCAAACCCCCCATAACCTTTAGTTTTAGTTTTTAGATTTTAGTTAGTTTTTATTCAATAAATGTGACAGAGTAAACTGATTTTCATAGCCTAAAAAGTATCTTTCCTCGTGGGATCGACCCTTACTTACCCTATCTATATGTTTTGATGAATATTGAATCATAAAGAGGGTTAAGAGTTAAGGAAAATAATAAATTAATTTGTAGGTGCTACGACACGCCTATCAAATTTTGGCGTCGTTGCCGGTGAAAGATTAACTTTTTATGGAATTCGGTTTGCTATGTTTTAAAAAAACAAACAAAAAAAAATAAAAAAAAACAAAACTTAAAAAAAAATCAATACAACACGAAAAAGCAAAAGGAAAAAAAAGTTCAAAAAAAAACAAAAACAAAATAAAAGTAAAAAGCGGCTACTTAAAAAAAATCAGAAACAGAAAAATCAGTTGAAAAAAAAACCAGTCCTGGAATAAAAAGAAAAAAAGAAGTCTGTTCTGTTACCCTTTAGTTTATGTTTTAGGTTAGTTTTTTGTTTCTTTTTAGTTTTGAATTTGTTAGTCCTTGAGTTTAATTAGAACACTAGCCATTGTCTAGGTGTATTTGCGTCTTTGTAGATTAACAGTCAATTTTGCTTTTGGTTTTTGAGTCAATATCGAGTCTATGTAACTCTTGAGTTTGTTTCTTCAAATGTTAAGTTCTAGTGTCAGTGTATTTGTAGCTTAAATTTAGATTCCTAGATTTTATTTAACTCTTATTTTTAGTTTAAGTTTAAAATATTATAACAGTAACTTATCTCAAATCTAACTTTCTTATCTAACTTATTTTAACTATAACTCTTTGAACTTTTAGTAAATTTTTTTTTAAAGCATTAACTGAAGAAAAAATTAAGTAAACCATTTACCTGCCCTATATTGTTTCAACTTGCTTTTGAGATAATTCATTCTAGCTATTGCATTGTTTGTTTTCATGGGTTGTTGATGCACTTTTTGGTACACATGCTTAGCAGAAAAATCTCTCAACAACATAGATCTATGAACCAGCAACAGTGGTGGAGCAACAGATGGACGAGACTAGTGTTCAAGATTCCAGTGTACCCATGTCTTAGCAGAAGTAGCTCCATCTTCACAGCAACATAAAGGATTTAGCAACGAGCAGCTCAGGATAAAGGGAAGAAGCTACACCTTGGGTGCCTATATTAAGAAGTACCCTATTGCAACGGGTGACTTGTCCAGCTATCCCAAGGTTTAAATAGCTAAATGGAAGGGACAATACTGCATTTTATATGCAAAGTGCTGGGCTTCTTGAGAGATACAGAGACCATAACCCTGGAAGTACAATCTCACATTTTTTGGAATGTTTCATTGGGAACATCCAAAAGAATCTACTGAAGTTAGAATAAATTCTGTGTATTCTAAATACAAAAAAGGCCATCATTCTTTAGGAAATTTTTCTAAGGGCCAGGTGAGTAATAAACGTGTGGTGACTGCAAGAAGGGAGCAATCTTTGTTCATGAATCTCACTTCTGATAGTCTATGGTCTGACATCGAAGAATTTTCAAAACTCAAGTACCTGTTTGAGGCTCCCAACGATACGAGATTACGGCAGGTCACTGGTCTAATGCGTAGGGAAGTTGCAAACTGTTGTCTATATCTAGCTATGGTCATGTATGAAGCAGGGGAGTCGACGAAGCTGCCCGAGTTGGTGCGGAAGCGAGGAAGAAAGCTGTTGCGAGGGGTCTTCACCTACGTCCTAAGGCCGCCGGTTCTGGGCAGAACCCACTCCCGGAATTATTCAACGTGATAAGCCCCGGGAACAACACATAAACTACTCTGAAAACTACAGGGTCCAATGCAGAAAGCGTCAAAGTCGACCAACCGAAATCGATCCAGTCCCGATTGGATTAGGCACTGGTTTGGCATCGTTGGATCCAAAGAAGCCGAAGTCTAAATCTGAGTTTGGTGCATCTTGAAGCTCTCACACCATAGCACAGCTAAGTATTGCTTAAACTTTACCTGCCCCTATAGTCAGGTGCCTATGCTTCACAGATTACCTTGAAGAGCCTAAATTTTGTTACCAAAGAGATGGGTTCAAGAAAAGCAATAGGTGAATTGTGCCAAAGAAAAAAGGTTGGATGTTACAGTTATAACTGCAAAGGCTTGACCAAAACCAGAAGGGACATTGTTGCTCTTTTAGGGTGCAAAATGTGGGAGAGTCTTCCATATATGCCCTTAACTTAACTGTTTGTGTCCAAAGAAAGTAAAAGAACGAACAGACTAAGCTACGCATTCCAGGTAAGTATACTGAACCCATTCCCACTTTGAGTTGGAATTCAATGGATAATGCTCAATGAAATGATCCTCCCTTTAAATGATTTACAAAAACTGAGAGCTTAAGCGTTTAAACTTCTAAATTTTTGGACTAGATTAATTAATCTGTTAAGGCATTCTCTAGATCTATCTATTTGAGGGATTATTTTTTAACTCACCATACTACTCTTCTATTCATTAGGATTCATTAGGAAAAATCCCTTATATTTGTTACTCATCCACATGACTTTTTAAAAAAAAAAAATTTGTGTTAAAGTTTTGAATCTGTGTTAACTGAAAATTTTGCATTCATAAAGATACTTTTTGGGTTAAATTACAAAAGTTTTGCTTTTAAAAGAAAAAAAAACAGTTCCTCTACACCATCTACAGAGATAATTGCTGAAATCGATTCCCCAGTCAGTTAATTTTGGGCATTGAAGACTGATTTGTATCCAAAAAAACTGTTCTTATATAGAAGACATGCTACAAGTGAAAACTGAGTTGTATTACAAACAACGAGCATTCAAATAAGAAGATTTTTTTTTGTGGACTTTAGGAACTCAATTTAACAAAAAAGGGATTATCTTTCAAGAACAGAATTTCAAAAACAATTCAGAACATATGGTCCAACCCAATTTTTTCTTAGCATAAGTTAAACTGGTGTGTCGTACTCATTGGTGCAGTGTTGGTTCTTTGTTTTAAAGCATGGCAGACCTTTTAGCAAAAGAGCTAAAATTCTGTGCATTTCTTCAGTTGTCTAATCTCACAGTAAAAAAAGGAAACTTTCTAATTAGGTTTTGTTTAAAAAAAATTATCAGACATGGTCTATTCTATGTATTTTAAAAAAAAGAAATTGCACTTTCACTTTACCTTTTGCGATCTATTTCCTTGTTCTTCGTCCATTAGAAAAAAATTGAATCGAACAGTAGAAAGGAAGTGATTAGACAACTTAATACAGATTTCAAATTAAGAAAAAAACTGGTTTGGTAAGGTGTGAAAAAAAAATATTTTTCAAATACTCTTTTATCTGTTGGGGGTCATTGATTGTTATCTATGCTCTTAAAGTAGTTACCCCACCCCATAACTTCTAGTTTTTAAGAAACTTGATCACTTTCTTGAGAATTTTAGTGGTTAGAGCTTTGTGTTTATTTGAAAAATAAACTTATGAATATCACAAAAACTATTTTTTATTTGCTTACTTTGACCTTGTGATTAGCTATTGGTTTGTTTTGGAGTGTTGTTTTGAGTGATCACAGGTTATTAAGAGTACGATATGGATTCTCCATGTTGTCCTGAGCAGAACAACGAGTCTAGCCGCAGACATTAAAAGATGGCAGCTTTCTGGGAGGCAACCCAGATATTTAAACTTTTACTTTTATGCATTTTATTTACTTTTTTTCTTTTTGTATTATCCTCTTCTTCACTTGCACTTTGTCTGCCTTGGATGCTTAATTGTCATATCTTATGATCCCTATTGACAAATGGGTAGATTGAAGGACACTTCTGTGGAGAAGAGTACATCACAATATATATAGAAAATAGTACTACTACCATAATTAATATTGTCTAACATCCCCCCTCAAGCTAAACGTCGTGTCACGAACGGAAGCTTGGAAACAAGTGTTTGAAAACGTGCCTTTGGTAACGGTTTGGTTAGCAAATCTGCAAGTTGATCTTCAGAGAAGACATGAGACACATTCATAGTACCAGCAATGACCTGTTCCCGAACAAAGTGACAATCTGTACCCACATGCTTCATACGCTTGTGAAAAACTGGATTTTTTGTGAGACATATAGCCGATTGATTGTCACAAAATAGCTGAGGAGGAGCAATTGGTATACGCAAATCCTCTAGAACGTATGTGACCCACATGACTTCTGAGGCAGCAGAAGATAGAGCTCAATATTCAGCTTCGGTGGAGGATTTTGACACGCGAGACTGCTTTTCTGTACTCCATGAGATTAGGTTCGGCCCAAGATAAACTAGATAACCAGTGACAGAGCATCCATCTGTCATATCATTTGCCCAATCGGAGTCAGAGTATGCCCGTAGCTGAAGATCACCAGACTGAAAAACAAGACCCCTATCAAGTGTCCCTTTAACAAAGCGCATAATCCTCTTCAAGCTCTGAAAATCATTTTCTGTTGGATTATGCATACGTTGACAAACATAATTGACTGCAAACTGAATGTCAGGCCGAGTAGTAGTAAGATACTNAGCAGAAAGCCAGAGAGCCGCTCATACCAAGCCCGTGGTGCCTGTTTTAAGCCATATAGAGACTTGTTAAGCTTACATACATGACGGGGAAAGCGAGAATCAACATAGCCAGGAGGTTGCACCATGTAAATATCCTTATCAAGTTCGCCATGTAAGAAAGCATTAGAGACATCTAGTTGACGCAATGGCCAGTCATAATGAACAGCAAGAGAGAACACGATCCGAATAGTCTGTTGCTTAACCACAGGACTGAATGTCTCAGAGTAATCTAACCCATACTCTTGAGTGTAACCTTTAGCCACCAAGCGTGCTTTGTAGCGTGAGATAGAGCCATCGGGGTTATGCTTAATCTTGTACACCCATTTACAGCCAATCGGAGCTCGACCTAAAGGCTTTGGAACAAGTACCCATGTGTTCTGTTTTATCAAGGCCGAATACTCCTCATCCATAGCACGACGCCAAACCTCATGTTGAGAAGCCTCTCGAAACGTTGTTGGCTCAGAAACAAGGGTAAAAGGGGAGACAGAGGTAGAAAAAGTTTTAGGTTTAAAAATGCCACTTTTGGAACGGGTTGTCATGGGGTGAGTGGGATGTGGTGTGGGTAGTGGCCGAGTGATCTCAGGTTGAGGGGCTGGCTGGGTACGAGGAGGTGTAGGGTTTAGGCTAGTGTTGCTCGGGAGTTGGACCCTGGACATTTGGGTATCGGAGGGGAAGGGACGAGGTGGAAAACCAGGTGGAAAGGCCGGGTGACAGCCGGTATTGGACGGAGTACGATTAGGAGGGGAGTGAGCATTAGGTTGTGAAGTGTCAAGAATAGGTGGGGTAGTATTGGGTATAGGTGAGGGTTCCATGTGAGCAGGGATTAAGGACACCATAGGGAGAGGAGGGAATATAGGCAAGATGCCAAAGAACGACTGGGAGGTAGGTGGAGAGATAGAGACAGAATAGGGAAACTCATTCTCATTGAACTGAACATGACGCGAGATATATACACGCTTGGATGATGGATCATAACACCGATACCCCTTTGACAGTTCTTCATACCCAAGAAAGATACAACGCTTAGATCGAGGTTGAAGCTTGTGATCAATCTCATGGCGGAGATGAGGATAAGCAAGACACCCAAACACACGGAGATGAGAGTAATCAGGAGGTGTACCATAAAGAACTTCAAATGGAGATTTATGATGTAGGTAACGTTTAGGCATTCGGTTGATGAGATAATTAGCGGTGGCTAAGGCTTCAACCCAGAAATTGGCAGGAAGAGAAGAGGTATAAAGTAGAGTTACAACGGTTTCAACAAGATGACGATGTTTACGCTCAGCAAC